AGAGAGATTCATACACGGTGAATAATTGTTAATAAATAGACTGCGAATTCTGTATTTTCCTTTGACAACGATCTCAGTAAAATTTTTCCGCGCAAACATCCGGCGGAATAATGGTTACATTAATTACATTATATTTGGTTTACGAGATACACGTTGCTCCGGGCAATTAATCTAATCCGCTTCGAGATATTCGGAGGTGTCGATGGGTGAACTGTAAATCAATGACGTTTTGAACTCTTCAGATATTGAAGTCTGGCGAAAGGTCAACAGTGCAATAATCTAGGGGTGACGGAGGTTCACGTTCACGTACTGATTACCGGTTTCGGTCGTCGCAGCCTTCGTGCATTGTGTGTACACGTTTTTTTCACGAATTGTTTTACACTTTATATATATTCATATATTGCGGACATTATGGTTATATATATATTATTATTATATTATTGCATGTATGTATAATATTTTATATACAATATGATATTATTTTATATATATATATATATATATATATATATATATATATATATATATATAATATAATAATATAATATAATATACGTATACTGTGTAATATAATATTGAATAATATAATATTGAATAATATATATATATTGTATAATATAATATTGGATAATATATATATACTGTATAATATAATATTGGATAATATATATATACTGTATAATATAATATTGAATAATATATATATATATTGTACAATATAATATTGGATAATATATATATATACTGTATAATATAATATCATATATAAAATATTGCCATATAAGCAATAATTAATACACATCTTAAATAACAGAAGTTCAAATATTGTGGACATTTTGGTTACATATAAGCAACAATTGAGAGTTCCAAAGTGAAACGACCGTTACATGAAAATTTACAACAAGCATACATCCGCATTCAAAAACATCCTACACAGTGAAATTGTCATCAAACGAGAATTACACCGAGTATAGAAATAAATTCGAACGAAGCATGCAGGCCGTGTCGCGATCAATAGGCATTGTTAACTGGCCGCCACGTGTCGAAATCTGGGCAAATGCGGTGTAAATGTAGAGGAGGCGGCGTGTCTAGTCATTTCCATCATCCCGATACATCGAGTGGCGTGGCCAAGTACATGCATCGTCCGAGCAACACAATGCGGTAGCCATAAAGACGTCCAATTTTTTTTGTCGGCGTGCATCGGGGCCCGGTTTTTCAAAAACCCTTTACCAATCTGGTCCCGTTGCAAAAACGGAGGAATACGCTCGAGGAACAATAGAGAAACGGTTACAAAGCGACCGACGGCTCATTTCCTTCGAAAGATTCTTTCGGCGAAACGCGTCGTGAGATACGATTTGGCCACGCATCGGCGGGCCGAACGTGTACCTTTTTCAAAGCTCGGCTAATTGAAGCTCGACGAGAGCACCCCTTTACGCCGCGATTCGCGTTGAAGAACATCACATACGTTTCACTTTTATTCAAGGGATGCGCTCTGTGATGTTTTCTGGCCCCGGGAATCACGAGCCGGAGAGAAATTGACTGTGCCTCCGCCGGTTTGTGCCTCTCTTTCCAAAGAGACAATGGAACGAATGGATGCGCTCCGTTCCGGATGAATAACAGCTTCTGTCGTGGAACTGCAATTATTCCCACGTCGAAGTCACACCGAGCAATTGTATTATTTACGAAAAGAGCTGCGATCTAATGTACGAGCGGGGTGTACGCTGATTCGTTGTACAGGGTGTCCTAACAATGTCACGCAACATGGAAATGGCGGGTTCCTGAGGTGATTCGAAGCAACTTTCTCCTTGGCAAAAATGCAATCCGCCGCTTCGTTTGCGAGTTATTCGCGAAAAACAGTGGCCAATCAGAGGGAAGCTTTGCCGGCGCGAGGCGGCCAACGAGTGCGCGAAACCCCGCCTCGCGTCAGCTGATCTCACTGCTCATTGGTCGCTGTTTTTCGTTAATAACTCGTAAACGAAGCGGCGGATTGCATTTTCGCTAAGGAAAAAGTTAATTAGAATGATCCCAGGAATCTCCCAGTTCTTGATTGCGAGACATTTTTGGGACTGTCTGTAGAAAAAAAGGAAGAGACAATAGAGTCTGTTTAATAAGAGGTAAATAAAGAGCGTAGAACAATAAGAGAATAAATCTTGAAGTATTTGGAATCACGGTTAGATACTTTTGTGAAGAACTGGACGTAGATTAGTGGGTTTGCAATTTATTGCTTAGTGATAAACTGGGGATATTTATGGCAAATGAGCACGGATAATTGAATTAGTACAGTGAAACCTCGGGACATATATGTATATATATATAAGTGACGTGAAAACAATGACGGGTAATAAAACAGTTACTTAAAGCGTCAGTTTTAATTTTTATTGATTCGCACAGTAACTTGTTTTGCATAAGGGTTGCCTTGTATTCAGCTAACTTATTCGAACAATAGAAAATTCTGATATCGGAGGACCGGATAATCGAGACTGTGCTACATTCACAAAATTATGCTACATTAAAAGACTGTAAATTCACGAAATCTCCATTGATACATTGTTATCTAAAACATTTTGTGTACCTTAAAAAAGTGTTCCAACCTCGTAGGACATAATCTCCGTTTTTAATTAATTTACATTTCGTCTCGTTTACAATTCTGTCTTCGTCCCACGATAATAAAAGAGTCGAATACTTCGTTGAAATAAAAAAGCGTGGCGCGATACCGGTGGTAGAGGGGGATGGTCGAAGAATGGTGCTATGAAGATCGTCAGTTTCCATGACGTGCACCGTGATCGCGTGCGATGTAGCGATCAGCCTTTGTACCGAAGCATGATCTTCCTACGGGAAACCTATTGGGTTACGCCCGAAGAGCCTTCCATATGGGAGAACACATTACGCGAGGAAAGTATGGCCAACGAGGAAATCACGTCGTGTGTCGCTGAGTTTAACACTTTCAAATTTGATTGTCGAATAACGCGCAACGATCGGAAATCACGACATTTTCTCCCCCCTCCCCCTCCCGGCCATCCGTGGAACTGTTACGAATATCGATAAACCTTTCACCCTCGCTTCGCATCTAGTTTTTAATATATTTCTATCTGTTTCTAATGATATAATAAAATGATTCTCTGTTCAAATCTGTTTCGTATATTTCTTCAATTATTTTGTTCTTCGAACGTTATTCTTCGGTTGTTTAGGTCTGCGTTGGAAAAAAGGGTTACTCGATCGCCCCGATTCTAATATTTAGGAACTTCAATACGTGATATTGTCACTGTTGGAAATAAAACATCATTTTTCTACTCCACGCACGGTATAATCTTTTTTGGGGGGTAAATCAAGATGAGCAGAATTATTTCTTCCGTAACAAGTCCATCTGAACTTATTATTATTATTATTATTATTATTATTATTATTATTATTATTATTATTATTATTATTATTATTATTATTATTATTATTATTATTACTGCTACTACTAATTATTAAATTTACTTATTATTATTATTATTATTATTATTAATTAACACTGGAACAACAAAACTCGTTGAAACAACAGATTCTAGATTCTTTATTTTGTAGTTATGAGATTGTAAAGATGCTTTCGTGGGCAATTACTCGGTATATTTATTTATACTTGGACGTATTTTAAAATAAAACTCGTGCAGCGTCTCGATAAACACGGGCTTGTTATTCTTAAAAAGCGGGGTTATATTGGTCACTTTTAGGGTTGAACTACCGTCGATATTACCGATGCGAATGGGTGGCACAGTGACCCAGTAATCTTGCGAGCAAATCAGGCACCAAATTTGATTCTCCCAATCGTTGCATTCACAACTTCTTAATAACGCGACTGCTTCGGCCACTTCGATAACGCAATCCTAATTCAGACTCAGAAATTAATATTCGCGGTGACCGACTATCTTTTAGCCGCGGTGCATTATAAAATTATAGATTGTAAAGTATACAGCATCTGAAATAGAAAAAGGGCGCACAAGTAGTCTACGAAGACCAAAGAAATCTCATTCTGCACAGAATCAGTTCTATCAAATTCATTCTTCTCGATAACAAGACCATCGATGATAGAATCGAAAAAGTTGCGTAGATTAGTGCACGATTTCTGTTTCCCTTCGACCCCCTTCGCAAGTTCCCGAAGGCGATTCCATCTACAGCAATGTCTCCATAATTGACGCTCAAATTGTCCACAAAAAATGGACAATTTTCAGAGAGGAGATACGATTATTCGAGCCCTGTGGTTTGCTTTTATTGCCTCCACTTTCCAAAGTGTTCATTTTTGTGCGCAATCTCAGCGTCAATTAACGCGTGAAACTTAACAATAATTACCCTCGAATATTACCGTCTGATACACCGATAATTTCTCCTAATTAATTACACGGTGAAACACACTCTTCAGCGAAGTGCAAAATGAGGATAATGACGAAAACAGCTGCCAGTCCAGGGTTTAACTATTA